TAGAGTGAAAAAAGCTAACGTAAACACGATAAACACATCTACTATATATGTGGTCAAGGTGATCTTGTGTTCAGTTGAAAAAATGTAAAACAAAACAAAAAAACATTTGAAGGCACCGTGCTAACTGTATGCATGAAAATATGTTAATTTGAGAAGAAGAAGAAAAAAGTGAATCAATGAAGCAACTCGAAAATAAACAAACAAAAAGTGTTCAAGTATTGGTTTGTAGGGATTTGGTTGATTGGTTACAGGATTTCATCATGAGCTGACATTGGTTCGAACCCCGGTGGGTGCGTACTGATGAAGAGTCCCAAACTAGGACGAAACAGCTGTCCAGTACTCCCCGCAGGTTTTCCAATGGTTCTCTAACCAATGTCAGCTCATGATGAAATCCTGTGACCAAACAAAAAGTGATTTCTACTGTTACATCATTCTTTATCTGGTTAACATGTAGACAGTATTTATTGAAATAGCTCCAACTTGAAGCGAAGTAGTGTAACTAATGTCCAATAAAATCCTCATCATTTGATCACTAAGTATGACAACGTTTCTTTTTATTCCTTCACGTTCCCCAGTGGGACATAGGGCTTCAAACTAGTGGCTTGAAGTTTCTGTAGCAGTGTTTATTTTTACAGGATGGGGTTGTTAGCCTCATGCCCAACCTTCCCTCCTCACCAGCTTTATATCTGGCTTAGTGAGGTAAAGGAGTGCGCCGGCCGGGGATCAAACCCCGGACCATATGCATGGTCGGCGAGCGTCCTAACCACTATGCCACCAACGTACTTGGAGTGATGAAAGTAGTAAGTGCTTCAATGACGCAGTGCTTGTTAAGAGGGGTAGACGTTATGAGTTCGACTCTGTAAATTGTTCAGGCTGAAACCAGCGATATAAAATGGTTCACCAAAGGTTGAAAATTCTTTGCCTAACATCGAATTGTGAAGAAAAAGCAACTGAAATGTGATCTTAGTTAAGACAGACAGTAAAATGATGATTGATGCTGCTTTAGGCTGACTGAAGAATTATAACGACACTGAATATTTTCATAGATAAGATATTTGATAAAGGATGTTCCATTACCAGACTAATTGCCACCGCACTAGAACTAATCTGATCAAAAAGGGAAGCATGTTTACATGTTTAAAATGGTGAAATATTTGTGTGAAAATCTAAGGACAATGAAGTACCATCTAACCATTTCATGCAGTAGGTTGTTAAGAATGACTTAATGATTAGTATGACTGGTACTGTCTTCGCTCAATACTCAAAATCAGATGGCCGGAAAAGATCAGAAACAGGGATCTCTGGGAGCGAACCAACCAGGAACCGATTGTGAAACAAATATCCAGGAAGAAATGGAGATGGATTGGCCATACTCTGAGGAAACCATCAAGTGACATCACTAGACAAGCCATTGCTCGAGTGGAACCCGAAAGGGAAGCGGCGAGTTGGTCGTCAGTGCAAGGGTGACTTGGAGGAGGTCATGTGAAGAGGAGATGAAAACGTGTGGGCATACTTGGAGCCAGGTGAAGACTCTAGCAGAGAACCGAACGCAATGGAGACGCGCGGCTGAAGCCCTATGTTCCTCTAGGAATTAAAGGAAACAATATATATATATATATGACTGGTACTGAGTAATTTATCTTACCTGGTAATGAAATATCCATCGCTGAATATTTCACTTGTGGGAAAACAGAACATTAAGATCTCTCTTATCTCATAAAATAATATTTAAAAATGCTCTTAGTAGAAAAAAAGAAAAAAATGGAGATTATCTGAAAGAAGAGAAATAACTGACACCAATCTTAGTAATATAATCGGGTAAGGTTTACCATGGGGGATTATGTGTAATAATAAATTGTTTTTACACACACACAAGAACGGTGCTTAATTCCACGAATGTCTATCACCTCAGCCTACTTTAGTAAGCGCTCTTGTCTGTTTCTGTATATAATCTTGAAAGTAGTTTTGTTATCAGTCTTATGATAAACACCAGTAATATGCTTTTTTTAAATAGACGATTTATTTTTCAAACTATTTAGTTATATGTTCACTAACCCTCACGTGCAAAGCATGATTACTCCTCCCTATTCACTCAGATACAAAGGTCTTTAGGCTAAAGGATCGATCAAATTAGATAAAAACACAACTGTATCTATGAAATGCCTTACAATAAATAAGGTCAATTGCATAGGTCAATAAAGTTATCTGAAAGTAGAAATTGAACTAATTGTAAGATGAGTTACCCCTTAAATAAGACCATCTCTTAGTTTTGGGAATCATCGTCAGTACGCACCCACCACCAGGGTTCGAACCCAGGACCTTCCGGTTACGAGGCAAGCTCGTATACCATTCAGCCACTGGGACCCGATTCAATGGCCAGCCCATCAATCCTAACTTTTACCTATTCGTGATTTAGCGCAACCCCAACCATTGTCATTGGTGGGACATCCATCCACACATGTGACATCAATCCGTGATCAACTCGTAAAAACATAACTAACCCTTACAAACCAAACTATAGAAAGACCATCTCTGAAAAATTCAGCAATTGCAATGCATGCTTTTGCACTCAATCAAATAATAGGGTTGGAGACAGCTACACTTCTCAACAGAATTATATGTAATTGGTGAGAGATTTTGGTCAGAGAATCTTCATCTGACACATGTATCAGGAATTACTCAATATCCATACCAGATAAATGAGAAAATATTATTACCGATAAAATCAAAGGATAATAAATAGTGGAACTATTTACAAAATATCTGAAATTTATGGGAGCTTCTTGATATGTTATTGAGCAGTAAATTGTTCCCAGGGATGTCATCAGACAGTAAATAACACCGTATCACTGTATTTTATGAAATAAAATCAATCCAATAATAATAAATTCTATTTGAAAGTCCTACCCCATTAGTTGTATTATAAATGCAAAAATGGATGTCAGTCTGAAGTAATATACCTACTAAACTGTAGGCCTATTTTAGATCCAGTCTGTACTGTCCTCACTCTAAATGCCGATCCTCATTAAATTTATGTATACAAATCATTTGTAATGCATATCAGGTAAGTGGAGAAAGAGCGGAAGAAACGTCTTTACCTCTGTGACATGTTAAGTTTGAAACTCTCAGTTGTTTAATCCATCGTCGTTGAGATACATGACCATGGAAGGTTCTTTGATTCAAGCTTGAAGATTTAAAATGTAGACTAATGCACTAGAAAGTTAAATAATAGTTTTGGTAGATAGTGTGTTTTGTGTATTCAGTGAATGAAATTGAATATTAAGACATGAAGCCTGGTATTTCATTTAACTTGATAATGTTTAACTGCACAATACCAACCCATATCAATTAGGGAACTGACATATCAATTCCTGTTCTTCAAGAGGAGAAAATACTGGTGATGAGAAGTTTGAAAGTATATGAAAAGAAATAACAGGATTTCTAACTTCTTGGATAGAATGAATTTTGAGTGTCTCTGATTATATCATCTTGCATTAGTCTTATGCTTGAAATCATGGTAAAGAATCCCACTAGTAAAAAATTTATGGTGCGAAGCTCCGTTAATAGTTCAACAGAAGTTGCTATCTAAGGGTGGTAACGCTCATGTTTTGAAGATTTTATGAATCTTGTTTCAACCTCCAGAAGGGCAGGGCATCAATATTAGTGACAGATAGACACGGGAACCATATATGTTATTTGATGAACTTTATACATATATATATATATTAATTTTATTGGCATTTACGGTTGGTACCTACATTGGTCATAATGTGGTAATAGTTTCGTATGATTAACTGTTTAGTAGGGTCTCACAAATGACTCCTTAATAACTTAGTTGAATTCGGAAACAAGTACTTCCGGTTAAGATTTCATAGTGAACTTAGAAAAACGTTAAACATTCGTCTCATTGATAAATATTATCACTCACGAAATTCGAAACCAGACTATTCTGCAGGTAAGTTTGAATATCAATGTTTAGTTAATAAGTTCTAGTTAACGTATGAGAAGCATGAACTAAGTGAATCAGTCCAGACCAGGTCAGTTTTATATACTATCAAAGTATGATTTGAATTACCAGCGTAAAGACTATGCAGTTATCATTATTATTAATCATACTGCTGACTGAACACTGATTACGCTTTCTATACTGTATACGAATTATTATTATTATTGTTCCCTTGGGTTCCTAGTGGAATATAGGGCTTCAACTGCACGTCTCCACTTGTTTCTGTCTTCTGCTGTACTTTTCACCTGCATCCATGTTAGTCCATACTGTTTCAACTCCTCTTCACACGATCTCCTCCATGTCACCCTTGGACGTCCCACTCGCCGCTTCCCTTTCGAGTTCCTCTGGAGCTATGGCCTGACGCGCGTTGTCACCCAGCGGCCTTCTCAGCTCAGCGAGTATGCAGTCCATCTCCACTTTCTGCTGCATATTTGTTAGGCGATTAGTTCTTGTTTTGTTTGTTCCCATAGTTTCTTCTTAGTGATTCTTCTGTATAGGAATTGGTGAACGTCTTATATTTCGCATAACCTTTGAATGAAGTTGAGAAATAACTAGTAATTTATTACTGACGCCATGTCAAGGATCCTACAGAGTTTAGTATATATTTTATTATTCTTTTTATTCCTTTACGTTCCCAGTAGAACATAGGACTTCAGACTAGAGGCTTGAAGTTTCAGTAGCAGTGGTGTATATTTTTACGGGATGGAGTTGCTAGCCTCATGCCCAACCTTCCCCCTTAACCAGTCTTATTACTGGCTTAGCGAGTTAAAGGAATGCGTCTGCCGGGGTTCGAACCTCGAACCACATGAGTGGTTGGTGAGCATTTTACAGTTGTGCCACCGACGCAACTATATTTTATTATTTCGTGTTAATAACTTGTTAGTCTGTCAAGGTGATATAAGTAATGCATGTAATAAATCAGTTGTGTAAATGAAAGATAAATAATCTTTATGGTTTCATCTTTTTTTTAAAAAAAATTTATCCTACAATTTAGCTGATTGGATTAGCGTTAGTTGCAATTGGAGCATGGGTTGCAGCAGATAACCAGGGTTTTCTTGATACAGTACAATTCTTCTCCTCAAAAGAATCAGTTGAACTTCAACTATATCAAGGAACATCAGTGGTATTATATTTCAGTTATGGTGTCATTGTAACCGGAGGATTATTAGTGATTATCACTTTTATTGGCTGTTGGGCTGTAGTCAGTGAGAATCGTGGATTACTCATAGCTGTAAGTCTAAAAACTATTGTGATTAACATGTTATTTTTTAATTTTCAGTTAAAGATAAGCGTTATATGCATACATACTTCTTTTGTCACCATAAATGTATTAAAAGAATGGGGAAATAAGTATTCTTCTATGAAATTCCTTTTTTTTATTCCTTCACGTTCCCAGTGGAACATAAGGCTTCAAGCTAGTGGCTTGAAGTTTCTGTAGCAGTGTTTATTTTTACAGGATGAGGTTGCTAGCCTCATGCCCAGCCTTTCCCCTTTACCAGCTTTATTTCTGGCTTAGCGAGGTAAAGGAGTGCGTCGGCCGGGGATCGAACCCCGGACCATGTGCATGGTCGGCGAGCATCCTAACCACTGTGCCACCTACGCACATGAAATTCCTTAAACTCTGATATTCAGATATGGTGTTTTTATGGTAAAAGCAAACACATTAGTCATCTGGATATATTCACTGAATTGTACATCCTTAATTATAAACGTCAGTTTTCGACTTTATTAATGTGAATTGTACTTTTAAGTTTCAAGCTTGTTGTTTCGGATAATCTTCCTTTAAATAAGGAGATAAGGATTTCAGGCACTTTGACTTAAAGTGTAATTAGCAAAGAGTGCTTGGAATCCTCAAAATCTTTTAGGCTTTTTTCTAACACATTTGTTTAGATCCCACGAATCATATGAAAGTGATTCAATAGTTTTGTTACTATCTAAACTGTCTTTTTATTGGCACTGAAATTGCATCCACTTTAGTTTTGTTATTTATCTGCTATAATCCATCACAGTAGCAGCTAAGGTCTATAGCAGTAATATAAAGGTTTCAGAATCGATTTAAGCATGATAGTTAGCCTTAGACCATATACTGCATAAATGAATGCGTCGGTGGCACAGCGGTTAGGACGCTCGCCGACCATGCACATGGTCCAGGGTTCGATTCCCGGCCGACGCACACCCGATATCAATGGTCGACCTGCGAAATTTGGGCTACCGATATCACATGCTGAAAATTCCATACCTGTACCAAAAATACTGTATGGTATCAAGCTACAATCAAAAAATTAGTATCATGCACCTACAGGCATAAGTTACCGCTAGCTCATAATAGCCCTTTGTCCAGTTGGAAGTCAGCTATGTTACAGCTGCCACTATCAAAAAATAGTCTCTTCAATAAGCCGCCTATCCTAATCGATTTGAACAGACGCTTCCGTCTGACACACACACACACAGAAAAGCTTCATTTAGTTCTGTATTTCATTTCTGTTTTTTGAATTTATTTCACAAAGCACGTCTTAGATTAGGCGCCTCCATAACTCATCGTCCTACACATTACTAAGTGTTTTTTACTTCGAAGACTCCAAAAAGATGAAAAGATATATACTACGCTTATTTGAACATGATTGTATAGTACAAAAAAACCTTCGTTAATGAATAAAATCGTATAATTATTCAGTGAGAGTATTCTGATCATCAATGAACACTTTCATTACTTAGAATGGCTGGAACAAACATTTATTGGAGAAATAGTTTTTTCCATTCCTTGGCATTTCGAGTGAGACATAGGACTACAAGCTTTCATAGTTTTAGTAATGGTTATATGTTTTTTACTGCGTAGAGGGGCTAGCCTCACGCGCAGCATATCCTCTTTTTATGGCTTACTACTGACTTGTAAACTGGGCGAGGCTTAGGACTCCACTGACCAGGAGCCCCACCAAAGAAGTATTGTTCAGCTTTTCCTTAGGCGATGGAATCAACTTACTTTCATGGATCAACAGGATTTAGACCACTGACATTTTTAATTGTCAATTAACACTACAGTTGTCTTATTTAATTATGTAATACAGTGGAATAAAATGACACTAGCTATTTGTTTCATCATCTTATTAAAATCATATCGAATGACATGAGATTTAAGAACTCATGACTGAATGAGCTGATTACAGTATAGATTTATGCTTTTATCATTGTCAGTTATGAAATAAACATGAATTCTAAGAATCGACCTATTCAATTTATTTTCAGTATACAGCTCTACTGAGTTTATTGGTTTTACTTCAAGGCGGAGCAGCTGCAGCTATGGGCGGTACACTTGATATGGTAAACCTGTTTATATACTTATCATGTAACTATTATTATTGTTGTTGTTAAAAAGCGTTTACTGAGATATTTAACTTCTTTTTGGATACAGTTATTCTTTTTACGAGTTGATCACGGATTGATATCAGTTAGAGAACCGCTGAAAGCCAGGGAGTACTGGACAGCTGTTTCATCCTAGCTCTTTGGGAATCATCGGCAGTATGCGCCCACACTACGGGGTTCGAACCCAGGACCTTCTGGTTACAAGGCAAGCTCGTATACCATTCAGCCACTGGGACCCGATTCAATGGCTAGTCCATGAATTCTAACTTCTACCAATTCGTGATTTAGCGCGACCCCAACCAATGTCGTTGGTGGGACATCCATCCTCATACGTGAAATCTGGTTGAACCTCACCGGTCATGATTTCTCACTAGAACTCTAGGAAACCCTTACAAACCAAACTACAGTTATTCTGTTTTTTCTAAAGTGTATCCTCAGACACATACGAACTCTTTATATGCTTCAAGAACATTCTGTGCATTGTAAGATGAGTCAGTTAGTTCTGTGTATAAATATGTAATGACTATTTACCCTCTGATAACATTTCAAGTGAAACCAATGTTTGTAATCGTTCTGTCCTCTGAAATCCATCTTCCGTCCTACAAAAATGTGTACCTGTCAAATGAAGGTTTACCTGGGACGTAACAGCTCTTACCGTTGTCACTGAGAATGTTTGGAAAGTTTGGAAAAAGCCAAAATGTAAAAACCTTTGTATTGTCAGAACACATCCATTTACTTTTTGTATTTGAAAGGAGAATGGATAAAAATTAAGGTGTAAAGTATACTATCGAAGAATTTGAATACACTTAATGCTACTAATGGGGATTTACAACTCGTATCATATAAAGAAACTGACACGAGTTAAAAATCACCGACTACTGGATTTCAGCCGAATAGTTGAATAAGGAAATGATATAAAGCTTGGTCCTTTATAGAATCATGTCTTCCCTCTGATGTACAGTAAAAGTGAGACTTATTCGTGTTATTTAAAGGACAATTGCAGCGAAGAAAATTTTCTTTTCGACGAAGTCATCATCTAGGCTGTACATTCGTGTATTTATATCAAATGGATGGGAAAGTTCCAGAATAATTTCCGGTTAAGGGTCAAAATTAATAAAAATTACAATTAGGAATTAAAATCCCATAATAAACAGGCGGATGGGTAAAACTCAAACAAAGTAGCATTATAATAACTAAGAAGATTGACATTGTGCAATTGGGGGTTAGAAATGTAGAAATAACAAAATAGACAGGATGTTTGGATAAGAAAACTAATGTGATGAGTAATTGTTTATGCAATCAGGGATTAAATATGTAGAAATAGTAAAATGACAAAGTAAACACGAAGTTCGGATATGAAAATATGGTAGTGTAGACAGGGATTAAGAAAAACTTAACATGAATAAACAGGAAGTTTGGATAAGAAAGTCAATGGGATAGTCACTATTAGAAGAATTACCTGTTTATGATGGCCATGGCAGGGACAAGGGTTGGACGTATTTCTTTTGGATACATAGCGTGGGTTTGAGCTTTTGGATGGCTAGCGCCTCAGCTATGCCCAGATGTCTTGATTTCACTGCCTTTGGTAGTTTGATTGAATCTTGTATATATACTTTGAAGGATTTTTCGAATGGGGCTGAATGTCCTGAATTGACCAGATGTTCTGTCACTGAACAATGTACACGTTTTTGGTCTCCTTTTACTAGCCAGGCTGGGTAGTGTTCGCGAGCGCGTTTTTCAAGTCGGCGCATGGGACGGCCGATGTACTTATTCGTGTCCAGTAAATTCAACCACATCATTCGTTATTTGTTTTTAAGTCAATTTTGATCAGACTGAAACGTTTGGCGTCTGTTGACATTTCTGCTCATTTGTACAGGCAGATTCATGTTGATTAACTGTTTTTTCGGGTTATAAATATTTTAAGGTTTCATTTATCTTCTTCCATAATTATTCTGTTGATTTAGTGGACAAAAGACTACGAGAATACAACAGCGAGTCGATTTTTAAAAAATTATGTTGGTACATTTGGAGCTTTCAATGTCTCAGAGTATGAGCCTTATTCACTTACTATGGATATACTAATGATAGAGGTGAGTGATAATTTAAGTATTAAAAGTGGTAATCTAATTTCATGCAGCATATCTCTCTCGACAGTAGGGGTTCCTTCAAGAGTGCAAATAAGCCTAGCTGACGCGTACTGATAAGCACTACACTTAGGCTGTACTGATTGCCTTCAACCACCTAATATTAATTAAAATTTAATCTGGCCATATGAATTGTGTTTATTTGAATTTTATCACCTTCCATTACTTGTTGCTTTTATCATTGCTTCCTCTCACAAAACTGAGTAATTGAAGAGGAAACCAGTTGAATTAGTCATTGTCAAACTTTGACAAAAGATGAGAAACACAGAGTGTTAGAACCATGTTAGAGACTCCTAAAAAGCTTTAAAAAGCTTCTGTAGGCGAGTAAAAAATCTTTTCTTGATCTGGTTGCGTTCACCTAGCTGAATGATTTAAATGAGAAATTTCCATTGCCCTCATAGACAACATTTTCAGTACAACCTTCTATTCGAAGTCCAGTTATTTTTGGTTGCACACTAATACCAACAATTCACAGTGCACCGTAATGGCGAGCCACCTAGCATGGTGGCCACATTGCAAACATGACTGATAGAATTCAGTCTGCACCGAAGATAGGACTAGACACATTACACTAGTTACTGACTAGTGTGCAATCAAAAATATCCAATACAGTCCTACTGGAGGTCAGTCGCGAGCCTGAATAGCTCAGTGGTAACGTCTCTGACTGCAGCACTGGGTGACGCGGGTTCGAATCTCAGAAGGGACATCAGTTCCTTCAAGGTTGCAGATACGCCTTGCTGATGAGTGCCAACTAGCACGAAACCTAGGTGAAACAAGGCTTCCTGCCGATTGCCTCCAACCATCTAATACCAAGAAGTCCAGTTATCTTAATTCTTCTCCATGAATGATGTAACTGTATCTCCCGACAACCTTTGGCGTGATTGGTTCTCAGTGGTGCATATTTAGCCTGATGTCATCAAAAACTGTTCTTCCGGGTATCGCTCAACAGACAGACATGTGGTCAATGAAATATTTAGGTGTCTAAATTGAGCAGACTCTTGAACTCTGTTTATTTTAAATGATACAGGAATGATTTCACTGTGCCCATATACGCCCATACCCTCTGACTAATATTTCATTAAGAACGAAGATAATAATACTACTGTGAATCAAAAAAGTTTCATAAAGGTATTCGCTTTAGACAGACTCAAATTTCAAGATTTCATTTTAGATGAGGTTTGTCAAGCGTATTTGTAATTCGTATTTATAATTCTTTTATCTTTCTTATTTGCTTAGCTTAACTGTTGTGGATTAAATGGCGCTTCAGACTTTACAAATACTCAGTCACGATGGTATATTCAAGGTCGAAAATATTTAGACGTGGCTTCCGGTGATACCGTTAAAATTCCACCAGCGTGTTGTAAATACACTTCAAAAGAATTCTTAAAAAAATGTAATGAATTTGAGTTTTTCGAATTAATTTTAATTTTTAAATTCCCGCTATATGTTTATTTTATTACATGATATCACCATTGTAATGTTGAAATATGCTGAGGTCTTAAATAAATGGCATGAATATTAAGGGAACTTGTAATATGTGAAGTATAATCACAGCTACTTACCAAGTGATTTGTGACAGTTACTCAACGCAGACATTGCTAAGTGGTCGCGCTATATCATGAATTGGCAGAAGTTAGAATTCATGGGCTAGCCACTGGATTGGGTCCCAGTGGCTTAATGGTCTACAAGCTCGCTCGCCTTGTAACCAAAAGGTCCTGGGTTCGAACCCCTCAGTGTGGGTGCGTACTGATGAAGAGTCCCAAACGAGGACGAAACAGTTGTCCAGTACTCCCAGGTTTTCCAATGGTTCTTTAACTGATGTCAGCTCATGATGAAGTCCTTTAACCAATCAAACAAAATCCCTAAAATTGTGATAAGATTGTGCTAAGCAAAAGAAAGCACGAACATAGAGCTATGCACACATGTGTATCAGCTCGAAAAATTATGTGAAATGAGGAAAAATAAACTGGGTGATACAGTAATGAACATAAAAGTAAAGAATAATAAAATGAAGATTAGTGAAAACTATTAAGATCTAAATAATGATGAGAGAAAGCAAACTATTTTTTCGAACCATAAAATCGGATAATCTCCAACCGTTGTTTATTATCTTCTTCATTGTCTCAGCTATGTAGTCTTCAATTTCTTATGTGGCTCAGAAAGGTTTAAGTATTTTCAAACAAGGAGGTGGATATTTATGTATGGATGTGGGTGGTGTTGAACACACTTCGCTTTGAATATGATATGCTTTCAGAGGAAGTGAAAACATAAGGAATAGCTACTCTTCCCAAGCTTCCACATTCATCTACTGATATTGGGTTTGAGAATTAATCAGCGAAAGATTATTTACATGTATATATATACTAATCAAAATTAGTATTATTCATTAAATTAAATATTAACAACCTGAAAGCAGGCTCTTAACTACACCCGTAGTGTAAAGGCTTTCTTCTGTTCAGCGGATGTATCATAATTATTATTGAGTTAGAATTGAATTCCAATAATCTGATTATTCTTGACTAATTTAAAAAGTTAATAGTCTTATAAGTTTAATTGACGTACTGTCTTCTATCACACACACACACACACCATATCTAAGATTCATTTTGATGAGATTATTGAAGAGGTAACACATTCTAAATTTTGTCAAGCATACCGAAATCACTGTTCAGATTAATCTCAGCATGAACTTTGTAAATAACTGTGGTAAAGCTTTACTGGTTGATCATTGTGTAGTCTGTTGCGAAGTCACATAGTTGATTTGGAATAGTTCTCATAGATGTGAGCTTCGTTTTCAGCTATTCTATTAGTTTAAAACAATTTATCATATCTAGGTTCTAGATAAGAATACCTCCTAAAGACGATGGAATGAGATTTGATATGAAAATCACATTAACACTTTATTTGTTTAGAGCCCGACTGTGAGGCAATAATTTTAATGGATTCCGTCCAAGGAGGACACTCTTTTAGGTCATCAAAGTAAGGTTATCATGTTTTCGAAATTTTGAATACACTGAACTTTTTTTATGTTATCGCTAGTGAGTTCACTAGGAAATAATTTATTCAAGTACTATGTTCAAAAAACCAATCAAAGCTAACTGATATATATTTCGAACTTATGTTTAAAGTTTGTTTTACGCTATTCTTTTATATTGAGCATAAATAATATTCGTATTACTGTCATTTCACTAGTTGCATGTCTTTATATTTTATCGCTGTTACACACTATCTTGCATCAGAAGTATCCCTTAAATCACAAATCTCCCCTACCTTTGTTTCATATTGGAATCTTTTTAAAAGAAACAAAGATTACAAGTTAAACAGGCAAATGATATATAAGGTGTAATCCCTTGTGGTCATATGGTTATCAGATATAAGACTTTTTGGGAGGAGAAAAAAGAAAAAAGCTAAAGATATATATGGGCATATAAAACTTTACTCAAGATCAGATGGCCAGAAAAGAACAGCAGCAGGGATCTCTGGGAGCGAACCAACCAGGAACCGATTGTGCAACAAATAATCAGGAAGAAATTGAGGTGGATTGGCCATTCTCTGAGAAAACCATCAAGTGACATCACACGCCAGGCCATCGCTCGAGTGGAACCCGAATGGGAAGCGGCAGTATGAGAGTGACATGGAGGAGGTCATGTGAATAGGAGATGAAAGCATGTGGGCAGACGTGGAGCCAGGTGAAAACGTTGGCCAAGGACCGAACGCAATGGAGACGTGAGGCTGAAGCCCTATGTTCCTCTAGGAATTAAAGGAAACAACAATAATAATAATAAAACTTAAAGACGAGTTTTTGTGAGTAGGTGAACTGAGTGTAAATGTTTCTGTCAACTGTCTTTAGATAATCCGGTAAACTAAAATCTTTCGGAAAATATGAGATTTACAAACTCTGCAAATACACCATCCTAAGTAATGCCAAGAAATTAACTGACTTATCAGAGCAGAACTTTATTCAGCTACACTTTAGAAAATCATACGTTAAAGCGGAGAAAAGAAGTGTACAAAGATATACCAAAGAAAAAACATAAAATACTGAGGTCAAGAACAGCTTTTAATTTACAAAAACCTACTCTTGTCCAACATCAAAAAACGTAGCGTAGCAGTATCAACTTTCTCGACTGACTAGTCGTAGAAAACTTGTGTCAGTAATAAGAGATGAATGTCAAGTAACTAAATTTAGTGTCTACAAACTTCTCTTTTTCTTCTTACCACTAATAACTCTAGAAGACATTTTTGCATTCTAACAAGATTCATACCAACTAACGACCAGTCCCTTAGAGAACAGGACATTACAGAATTGTTGCCCCCCCCCCCATTATTGTTCAATTTACAAATCTCTACTGTATTCTTTATTAACAGAAATTTTATTTGAATTATTTCTTTGAACAGATGATTACAATGCATTTAAGGATAATCTTGAAGATCAAAATTGTGTACAGACAACAGCTGCATCGAACAGTAATCAAGGTTGTTTAGCTGCATCGAAGAAAAAAGTGTTTAACAAAGGGTTGCCATACATTGCGATTCCAATTATCATTGTTGTATTACAGGTAATAATAATGACGCCAGCTTTCAGTGTCTTTCTATCTGTTTCGTCTTTATTCATTGCAAAATGGTATTTGATTAAAACACTACAACTCAGAAATGAGATATTTATTTTTGTAGTGGATATTTTAACAAATAATCCTTAATATCAGCCTTTTCTGTACAGTTCAGCTAACATAACTGGCTAGTTATGTAAACAGTTGGACAGATAAGTTGCCAAAGCTTTAGCTATATCGATAAAGAGAGACTGTCCACAGTCGATAATAGACAAGTACTATATAACTGACCATCCGGTTAGACGATACACCTATAAGAATCACAAATAAAATTATTTTAAGATGTATTTCCCTTTATCAACTGTTGAACGCTACAAAACATTGAGTATATGCTTCACCTTAGTATTTAATCGGTGGATGGTGACTAGCAGTGGAATCCAGGATGCGCATTTCGTCCTATTTGGGACTCGTCATCTGGATGTACCTGCATTCCTCAGTGAGTGATGATGTTCCCACCGAGGCTCGAACTCAATGTCCATAGTTTCAAACGCCAAAGCGTTATCCACTAGACCACTTGGGCCACGAGAGCCACCTCTTGTGCTTCACCTTAGTTTGAAACTTTTCAGCAGTGTGCACTGCTGGCTGAATAATGGGTCAAGCTACCACACATAAGCTCTCAATGCAAGCGTTTCATCACTCAGGAGATCAACTGGAACGCAGTAACGTGTGATTTATATATCCGTCAGCTTTGTTTATAACTTCGCCACCATGTTTCTGTTTAATCAGCGATATTGGTTGGTGTTTTTTTATTCTTTTACGTTCCCAGTAGAACATAGGGCTTCAAGCTAGAGGCTTGAAGTTTCGGTAGCAGTGGTGCTTATTTTTACGGGATGTGGTTGCTAGCCTCATGCCCTACCTTCCCTCTTTACCAGTCTTATTACTGGCTGAGCGAGCTGCAGGAGCGCGTTGGCCAGGTATCGAACCCCGAACCACCTGCATGATTGGCAAGCAATTAACCGCTGTGCCACCACGACACTGGTTGGTGTGAACAATATTTAAATCACTTATATAATTAGTGTATATTGTTCATTTTCTTGGTGCCATTCACGGTATCAAGGGGGCTACATTGTTGTGGTCCGAATGTTATTATTTACCACATATTTGGAAAGCCAAATTCACACAATCATAAGCTTTTTAATGCATAGTCTTTCTTTCATGTATGTGTCTTCTGAAGTCTATATTTACGTAGCTGTTAGCTGATGTATTTCTCCTATGACTAATCTGAGGAGTGATGAAGGCAGTTGAAAAATATTACAGTCTTTCAGATATTTAGTTCACAATTCACAAATTAGTTAGCGATTCGCCTGGCTAGTAGGCACTTCCGGTTGATATGAGTGGTATACAGCTACTTATCTCATGTAATAAGTAGTATATGGCTTTATACCTCCTAGATTTGTTCATAGTGGGTAAAATATAGCTGTTCAGTAAGTTATTTATTGCCTGCAGTCATCTATCCATAAAACTATTTTGTATTCTATGGATTTTTTTGCCCTAAGCCATAGACACTGCAGCACTATAACTTATTTAATCACAATTAAATTAAAGTCTCCATTCTTCCAACATGTTCGAACCAATAAACTCATGATCTTCGATCGACATTATGAATCCATATAAGAAATGTTAACTCAAAGAGTGGAAAGTTTATGTGTTGAAGGAAAGTGATGATTTTTGTCTAAACCATTATTACTACTCTTCTCCTTCAAAATGCATTAATCATAATTTTATATTATTATTATTTCAGCTCGTCTGTATTGGAGTTTCCGCCTATTTAATCACAAAAATTAAGAAATGGGATGAAGAACTTTACTACTAAGCACTAGAATTCTTTAGATGGCCTTCACTCCTTCCTACCTTCCCTTCAGTAAAGATATAAATTCAGCATATTCCAGGATTATAGATTCATATGTGAAAAAAACAAACATTGTTTTCTTCAGGAGCAAAACCACTGTATTAATTAGCTCCATATACGACAGTTTAAAAATTGTCTTCTCTTTTATGTTGCTCCTAATTTCGGAAGATAAAATGCACAAAAAGAAAACACCGGTTCAATGCAAAAACAAAATCTGCTGTATACCTGCCCATGTATTGCATCGTATAAAAAAATAAACTATCCGTTTTTCTTTCGTTCATTTTATTTTTTAGAAATCTGGTTATTTTAAATGAATCAAAATAATTTTGTGTGGATTTTTTTTCAAGCATATACATGTATTCGCTTTCTACTATTATCGTTCAGTCATACATACTTTAGCCTCTATTATTCACTGTGGATTGATTATCTTGTAAATGCACATGAGTGTAGGCATATTTCCTGTGTTTTCTTTTATATATTTCAATAATTCTATCTCCTTTTAATTGATTTTCATGAGGGAGTATTATGTAATTTAAATAAATATTATGGTTTGAAAATATGATAAAAATAACTGGTGATTCTTATTGCTGTTGTTCGAGCTTTAGTCTTATTCTATTTTAAGTTGAATAGATTTATTGTTCAGTGTTGCTTTGCACGGATTTACTTGATCCTAGGTTGGATCGAGAAGTGATGTCAATCAGAGAACCCTTGTAAACCAGAGTATATTGAACGGCTGTTTCGTCCTTATTTGTGAGTCTTCAGAATTACTCAGCCGTGACCTAGCAGAGGATAGAATTCGGGAACTTTATGTCACGAAATGAACTTGCTGAACATTCAGTCACTGAGGCGGAATCCATTGGCCCTCTATATACCACAAACTGATAGAATTTAGAATTCAACGGTTCCGCCTTGTAATTTGAAGGTTCTACATTCATTTTAGTCCTGCTTATATTGTAACAACAGAAGACAAGGGCCAGGCGACAGATCGTTTATTAAGGAAATCAAAGCATATTTATATATTTTCATGTACATTATTATAGATTAGTTAAGCAAACAAACACAGTCTTCTGATTGGTTGTTTCTCACTTAAAGTTAATCTTTCATCTCTTTCTGACTGTTTCTTGAATTTCAGATCATCTATATGTTGACTGTATCCGCCTACGCAAAGTCTGCTGTGGTCGGTTTTGAATCAGTCTTTGTTCATATTTTCTCACGACAAATCTTGAGAACGTAAACATTGACGTAAATTACCTTCTACCAATTTGGCTAGTAGACATCTCTCACCACAATATTATTTACGCAAACTTTCGTGATATCACATTTTCTGTAGGTAACTCTTTGAATTAAATAGGGAAAGCTGTGAGAGGACTGGATTGATGTAAAATTTGATTTTATCGCAATATATTGCCTGCCAAGGGACTGCCGGTAAACAAAGAGCTTATAATGGTTGTAGACGTCATCAGGAATACACACGTGTGACTTCCATAAGAAATATAGCTCAGAACTACTAGAACTGAGAGCTAGCATCCCATCATTCAGCAACAGGGTCGGAATTCATGGGTTGACATATAGTTGAAATACGGCTAATATACTCGTAGGGAGGAAGAAATGGAAGAAATGACCCTTGTTTGCAAATCCATAGTAAAAATAATATGCATAGGGAACGACTGAGCACATATTTCACATATCTACAAATTTTCGGTATATTTATCAATAAAAGTATATCTCAAGTTTTTGTAATAACTTTAGACATATCTACAGAGAACAACGAGTTGGGCGTCTGAGGGTCACATGGAGCAGATCGTAAAAAGAGGAGATGAAAGCTCGTGAGCAGTCGTGCAGGCGTCTTGAAAAGGCTATAGAGAATCGAGTGAGATGGAGATGTGCTGCTGAGCTGATATGTCCCACTCGGAACACAAAGGAATAATAATCACAGATGACGGACTGTGTTCGTTAGGTGATGTAGTGATTTATATTGATTCCCAAATGAAATCTTCTGAAGTTATATATCACTTTCATGCTTTAGTTCCGGTTTTACAATACAGATCTCAAAATAAACGCAAATACTGAATTGGTTTGCTGACAAAATGTTCACAAAATAATTCAGTATAAACATGGCTTTATTGCCCAGAAATGGAGACGACTAATTAAAATCCTACTGGGATTGAAAACTGTTTCGTGAATGGATTTTTATTGCGATGTACATAATGCACAATACGTATGGAAATCTGAATTCTTTTGTATACTTTTTTTAAATTGAATTTTAGATTTTCCCGTCAATTGATTGGACCGGAGTGCTCGGTCTCAGGTTGACATGTCGGCTTCTTGAGCAGATACTTCGACGATGTCTGGGAATTTAATTAGTATTGAATTGGTGGGTGGTGACTAGCAGTGGAATCCAGGATGCGCATTTCGTCCTATTTGGGACTGGTCAACTGGATGTACCTGCATTTCTCAGTGATAAATGATGTTCCCACCGAGGCTCGAACCCAGTGCCCATAGTTTCAAACGCCAAAACGGGAAAATCTAAAATTCAATTAAATCAATGTGACCGGTTGCACAAGAGGTGGCTCTCGTGGCCCAAGTGGTCTATTGGATAACGCTTTGGCGTTTGAAACTATAGGCACTGGGTTCGAGCCTCGGTGGGAACATCATCACTCATTGCGGAATGCACGTACATGCAGACGACGAGTCCCAAATAGGACGAAATGCGCATACTGGATTCCATTGCTAGTCACCATCCATCTTTTGTATACTGTTGTCAAAATACTTATCAGAACCGAGTGTACCATAAATAGTTCTATGTCACGTTCACATAACTAGCAGTAAAACAAATTTTAGAATAGTGAGACTTATGGTAGACGGTAAGAAAAACCATTAACTAAAGTTATGAGTATGAAGTTATTCAAATTTAAGTGTCCACCATTGTGGTCTTGTGATAATAATAATAATAACAGTAATAATAAAGATTCTATTATTACTGTATCAAATTTAATTCAGACTTTATGATAAAGTTTAGTATTTTATTTTGTTGAGTTCAACCAATGTTTCAAAGTTGAAACATACAAACATTCATACTGATATTTTCAATGTGTTTTTATGAATCAAAAATAAGTAACAAACTTTGAACTTATCTATTAATTCATTCATTCAGTTAGTCAGTTAAACAACCGCTCACGCATATATTGATCGTCAGTCATCCTGTGTCGAATAGAGTAATATTTATCTGGTTAAATGAGACTTTTCTATCAGACAGTTTCGTTTTGGTCTACTGTCATTTAGACAATCTTATTAAAGTGTTGTGCACAGAGTAAGAAATTTGCAAAAAATTATATTTGTAAAATCTCAGCGAGATTGAAATGAGTAATTCCAACGTTTCCTACATTCGGCAATCTGGTCCGAACTTCTTCAGGGAAATTAATCGAAATTAACATAACAGAGGTTTATATATATATATATATATAAAAGGAACATCTCTTGTTTTTAAAAACTTTGTCCAATCATGCGTCATGAACACAGATATCAAAATGTACAATAAACAAAACTGTATGAGCTGTGATCAAAATTTGACCTCGGACTTACAAATATTGGTCTACCTTTGTTAAACACTTTAAACAGAGTGTGTTTGTGTGTGTGTAAATAGTTGTAAAACATTTGTTAACGTCTCCATAAGAAGATATAGATAGTTGGGAATTTTGACCAAGTATTATTAATTAGTGATACATATTCATTTTTTATTTATTAATCAGGATTTGCTATGCATCAGCTAACATCACACCTTCATGTCTGTTCAAACTGTTAGTAACTAGAATTTTATGATAAGACGTATTTTAAAAATTGTGGTGTTTAGGATTAGAGTTTAGTAGAAGCACCCTGTCGAACTTATTGCTTTGTCGGAGGATTTAATCGAAAATGTGCCACTTTATTGAAGGTATGTAGATGATATTGTGATCATCAGTGCTAAGTCATGTTCTGCCAACTCGATTTCAAATCGAATGAATGAAGTTCAGAATAGCATATCAGTTATATCTGTAGAAGAGGAAGATAATTGTTTATCTTTCCTAGACATATTGCTTAGTCGACGGCTTGGTGGGTCAATAAAAAGATCTATTTATAGAAAACCTACCTGGACAGGACAGTATCTTAATTACCACGGTTTCTGCCCTGTTCGGTACAAAAGAGCCTTAGTAAGGTGCCTCTTCAGTAGAATCCAACGAATATGCACTGAAGACACACTTGATGAAGAAGAAAGAAAGTTGACACAAACTCTGGTTGATAACAATTATCCAGACAAGTTCATCAGGAGATATAAGGTAGTCAGAACACCAAGACCCATTCTCCAACTCGACCCAAAGAAAGACGTGTACATCAAGCTACCCTATATGGGGCATCAAAGCAGCTTGATAACTAGACAAAGGCTGAACACTGCTGTCAAAAAGACTTTTTATGCAGCCAACATCATAATAATAGAGAATGTTAAGCCAATATATCTATCTAAGCTCTTCGAACATGCCAAAAATGACGTCACATCCCACTGTATTTACCAATTTGAATGTACGTGTGGACACACATACATAGGGAGGACTCATCAATCTCTGCAAGTAAGGGCTTCAGAGCATATTCCTAGATGGCTCCAGAAACAAATGGAATCTTCAGAACGTATTAACGGTGAGAACAGGAGAGCTAGCTCTTCTATTGCAAAACATATTATAGAGACAGGACATAAAATTGACGTTAACAGATCTTTTAATGCTATCTGTAATACGTGTTTGGGGCGTATCCTAAAGTTTGTGGAAGCCCTAGCTGGCAATTAGAAAGTTTAAGCCACCTTTATACGTTCAAAAACAATTCATTACATTAAACCTTCCTTGGTAAATTTTGTTTTGATACCACAGCAGTTGTACTATTACCTCTGCTATTTGGTTTAGTGGTCTTCATTGTTATTTTGACCTTGAATATGTCCTTTTAACTTAACCTAAGTCTATTTTCTCACCTCCCACCTCTTTATAAATTTTTCATATATATTCCTATGACAAGTCCGTGTGTGATCAGATTGTTCGAAATGTGTTGTGCAAATAGATTACACGATTCAGACAAATTACGTCTTCTTATTGCTTTATCCAAATTCATAAAGGGAACTAATTGTTTTAAATTATTGCTTTGTCTTCTTTTTGAAGATTGAGCTGCTTTATTCGACCTACTGGAGTTGTCATGACAGCTACGGATTTAGGATATGCATTCTGTTGCAGACAACGGAGAGTGAAAACACGATGATTGTGCCAATTACATAGTTTCTTTGTTAATTTAATTCGATTGCAAAATAATTCAAATAAACTGTCGTCAAGATTTGACAGAATAGTTCTAAAATATTTGGGCGCCGAGTGAGAAGTAGACATTTGTAAAAAATTATATTTGTAAAATCTCAGCGAGATTGAAATGAGTAATTCCAGATTGCCGAACGAAACGTTGGAATTACTCATTTCAATCTCGCTGAGATTTCACAAATATAATTCTTTACAAATGTCTACTTCTCACTCGGCGCCCAAATATTTTAGAACTATTCTGTCAAATCTTGACA